TGGATGCTTTGGGAGGAACGGTTGGTGAAAGGGCTGGAGGGAGGCAGCATGTCTGGCCTGGCAGGAATAGGCCTTGAGTTACTGCTGGTAATCCTGTCTTCCTCTTGTAGGGTTAGAGAAGATCAGAACATGTGGCCTCCTTGTCATTTTTGCATGCTGCTATAACAGAAATACTGCAAATGGATAGCTTAACAAACAGGAATTTATTCTCTTTCAGTTTAAGAGAATGGAAGTCCAAATTCAGACTGCCAGCTCTTGGGGCTGGGTGAAGGTCCCTTGGCTTTGGGCTTCAGCTTGGCCTCTTATTCTAGGCCCACTGGAGTTGAAAGTGTCTCCTAACTCAGCTGCTGGCTGCTGAGGCTGATGGACCCAAGGTTGGCAGGTAAAATGGCATAATCCCAAGATTGGTAGGCAACATGGCAGGAACACTGGTTCGGGGCCAGGAACTAGAGATGAAGATTCAGCCAAATGCAGGATCCAGATGTGCCAAAAAGCCAGAGACCTTTCTCAACGCTTCTCTTTATATACTGGAAGCAAGCCATACCCGGAAGGCAATTATCTAGCTGCTCACAGCAGACTCCACCATGGAGGTGATTACAATTTCATCATGGGGAATAACTATATCAAGCTGCTCAGCCACTCAAAACTATGGCCCAGCTTAGTTGACACATAATCTTAACTACCACAGATAGGGAGGAGTCCCTGAGCCTGGCCACTATGCAAAGGTTGGGAAGTGAGGTGTGGGAGAGGACACGAAAGAACAGAACATGCCTCTCCTCTAGGCAGAGCCCTCCGGATTAAAGTCAATTGTTAGGCCCTATTGAAACAATAAGTGGAGAGAAATAAGATAATTTCGTATTGGGAACTGAGGACATTTGGCGATTTTATAAAATTAGACATTATTCAATGTCCTACCTTTGTTTGCTAGGGTATGAGTTGGCAGAGCTTCTCAAGTGGTGGGGTGGGAGAGGAAGTGACTGGGGACATCACCATGTCCCCCAGGCCTGGTCTGCCCAAGTGGTAGGTTTTTCATTGCATAACTTTATCTCTTTCCCACAGATACAGACACCATGGCCACTTGGTCATGTCTGACAGTTCTACCCTGTCTTATAGGGTTGCTATGAGTTGGAATTGACTGGAAAGCAGTAGTTTGGTTTGGTTTGTATGTCATATGCACTAATTAGCTTTTAGCTTCTTGACCAACAACCTTCCAAACTCAGGGGCTTATAACAGCAAACATAGACTCTTTGGTCCCGCTACATGTGGCTGTAGTGGTGTTGTATTCCTGATTCTGCAACCTGTGCTTTCTTGGGTACCTGAGGTGAGGAGCAGTGACGTCACCAAGACCCATCCTCCCCTAAAGTTATGGGCTACCTTGTTGAGTTCAGATCACAGCCTGGATTCTTTTCTCACATCTGCTTAAGGCAGTTTTCCTTTGGTGATCCTGGATGGTCTTTCTTTCTGGCTTATCACATTTGAGGCCATTTTTTCAGGGAAGTTTTACTAATGCTTAAAATCATGAAGGAAAGGATAGAGTCCTGATGGTTTCCTCCCAGGGAGCTACAGTGCCTCTCTGCAAAATTGTTCAAACATTCTCAGCTGTTTTGAGCCTCACAGATCAAGGGGGGTGGGATAGGGTGGGTTATGTTGAGCCCCTTCTCCACCAAAAACTGTTTTTTGACACTCATCGCTTGGATTTCCTTACCCTACATCTGCTTAATTCAAACACACCACTCAAATGTTCTCCCCAGAATAAAGGAGACTTGAGGTTTTAATTTCTAGAAAAGGAGACAGTTGGCAAATTTGAAATGGCAGAGTCTCTGGCTACAAAAAGAGCCTACTGTACTATTATTACTATGGTGCTGAAATATCCCTGAGTTAGTCACTGTCCTTTGGGTTCTCAAAACATTTCACATCTATCTCTATTCCTGTGCTCCACACAGCATTGTAATGTATGTGTACACCCCCCACCCATCCCCTCATCAGCATTGCTGGGACTTGGAGCTTCTCAGGGGAACAGGTGTTAACAAATCCATAGTTATGGACCCAACCCAGTGTAGCACATGATAGGTCCTCAAATGTGTTTGTTGTATTGAATTCCAAGATGAAAAAACAAATAGACACTTTTCCAAATTTTGTTTATGAAATCACTACATACCATACATAGGAGTTCTGGTGGTGTAGTGGTTTTTAAAGCATTTGACTGCTAACCATAAGGTTGGTGGTTTGAACTCATCAGTCACTTCAGGGGAAAAAGATGAAGCAGTCTGCTTCCATAAAGATTTACAGCCTTGGAAACTCTGTGGGACACTTCTACCCTGTTCTATAGGGTTGCTATGAGTCGGAATTGACTGGAAAGCAGTAGTTTGGTTTGGTTTATATGTCATATGCACTAATTAGCTTTTAGCTTCTTAACCAACAACCTTTCAAACTCAGGGGCTTATAATAGCAAACATGGACTCTTTGGTCCCGCTACATGTGGCTGAGGTGTTGTTGTATCCCTGACTCTGCAACCTGTGTTTTCTTACTTGGGTGCCTGAGCTGAGGATTAGTGACATGAAACAAACCTTCCCTATGGCTGAGCAGGGAAGAGCATGAGGCTCAGCAAAGCACTTTGAAAAGCTTCCAATTGAATGAGGCAGATGATGCTCCCACTCTGGTCCCTGGGTGGTGAAAAACATTTGTGCTTGCCTACTAACCTAAAGGTTGGCAGTTCAAACCCACTCAGTGGTGCTGTGGAAGAAAGACCTGGTGATCTGCTTCCACACGTTACAGAAAAAAAAACATATGAAGCAATTCTACTCTGTAACATGTAGAGTAGCCATGAGTACCTGACTCCACAGCAATAGCTTTTTTGTTTGTTTTTTGGTGGTTGTGGTGGGGGAGAGTGTTGTCTTTGAGAGCAATGCAAATCACATGGCAAAGAAAGATGTGGGCAATCACACAGGGGGAAGAGTGACAAATTGTGAAGATAAGTAATTTATCACACTGGAGTATAACAAAATAGACTATTTTTAAGCAATATAATTAGAGTATTGACTTATTTTCCAAATCATAGTTTTTCAAACAATATTTATATTTCATCATTATCAAAACAAAATTTAATTTCTTAATTAAGATAATACATAGGTCTGCAGGTGAGGATATGGTTTTCCCCCAGTTATGAAACTGTCTCTGACCACATGGCAAGAAAGTAGAACCATAATAACTTCTAGCTCTCAAGTTGCCTGGCTTCAGAAACCCACATTTCTTCTTGTGTCAGCTCTGAAACACACTGCAACGTGTATGAGCATTCTTAACTTGGTTGCACTAAGATCAAAGTCTTCATTAAAGCAAGCTTCTCCAGTTCCTCTCCCTTATTAGGATTTAAAAGCTTTGATTTAGGAGCTAACTTGATACATGAGCTTCCACTAATCAAATAAGAAACAATTTGAGCATCTATAAGGGCAACTGGAAAACACTGAAGCACTCAAATATGTTTAAGTTCATGGCTTCATACTCACTGCCATCAAGTGGATTCGATATAGTGGCACCAAAAAGATTTTTGGCAGCAAACATAAGAGAAGAAAGACATAGGTGAGGTGATGGTTGTGGAATGTGTGCTGGCATCCAAATGACATTATTTAGGATACTACATCTCTATAAGCTAATAAGCCCACAGATCACAGATCTCTGACTCCTTGTAGGCTCCTTCTCTGCCCCCAAGAGACACACCCTAGGGCCCCACAGACTGATTCCCCTCCCTCTGGCCCACTAAGGGATACTTGTCTACAGTTTCCTTCAATTTTTTCCCCATCTTCTCTCCTGGACCTGCACAAACTAGAGGTTGGAGTACAGCAATCTTATGGCAAGAGTGATAAGATAAAGCCTGTGGTGAAATAAACAGGGCAAAAGGGGTGGGAAGGCAGGGAACAGCAACAATGAAACAAACATAGTTTAGGTCCACAGTCACCAGGCTTTTAAATGGTTCTGCTGCATCCTTTGTGTCTCTCCTCTTAGCTGACTCTGGAAATATTCACACATCCCTGTTCTCTTGCTATAGCCCCTCCACTTCTGATAGAGGGACTCATTTTTCTCTACCTCCTTCTCATACACGCTACCTCCAGCCTTCCCCTTTCCCAGGAAGGACCAAACAAAATGTTTCTTTTTGTTTTGTTTATCATGTGATCATAGATTATACAGTCTTTTATAAACAAAAATTTGACGTACATGTTTCTTTGAAGGGGTAAGGATTAAAAAACATGTGAATAATGAAACAGGACATTTAATTAATTTTAAGTGTAGAGTGTGTAGTTGCCATAAAACCAATAAACCAAATCAGTTGCCATTGAGTAGATTCTGACTCATGGTTGTCTTGGATAAAATCAGAGGAAAGCAAAAATGTATTAAGCATTTACACTCAACAAAATTGTCAAGTCAACCCAAATTCCCAGAAAGATATTCACTTCCCAAGCTGAGCCAGTGAAGCCTTCAAAGTTAACTACAGGTGAGAGATGGAGCTGAGGGTCAGCATTGCTTTCTGGTTGAGTGAGTGAAGGCTTACTCACCACCTTCATACTCTCCCAGGCTCAGCTGTGCTCACGCCTCACAGCTTCTCAAACTTGGCCCTGATCCCCTTTACCCTCCTTCTCATTCAGCCTGTGACCGTCTCCTTTACTTTCTCTCCTCCAGCTGGGCCCTTGATTACAAACAATTGATAAAAAACAGAGACAGAGTGATAAAATGGTATAGAAAAAAGCATAACTACAGTGCTGATGAGCATGCTGGAGCCAGTGTCTCTACCTACGGTTGCTCTGGAATACTCCCTGAGCATATGTTGTATATACGAGGTGCACCATAAGTCTGCCTTGGGACACACAATCCAGAGCTTCCTGGGCTCCTGCTTCATAGGTCTTTATTCTTCAACAGACCCTTGAGGATTGCTATTACATTTGGATTGTTTTTCCCAAGGATAGTTTATTTTTTGCCTTTTAAAAGTAGCACGCAAATGGCTCCTTATCTTATAAACCTGCTGAGACATCCTGCTCCCCAGTGGATGGGGTGTACGTTGAACTCACTCGATCTGGTGTCTCCCCATAGAACACTGGACAACGTTTACAGAGGTGTCTGGCAATGTGCTTTCGGAAGAACACCCAGATATACCTTCTGAACTTCTCCCCGACGAAGGCGTAGATGATGGGGTTGATGCAGCAGTGTGTCATCCCAAGAGTCTCTGTCACCTGCATGGCTTGGTCCAGCCTGTTAGCACTACTGCAATTATCCAGGCCAAAGAAACTCTGGAAGGTGGTCAAGATAAGGACGATGATATAAGGAGCCCAGAAAAGAAAGTAGACAATCATGATGGCAAAGATGAGTCTCACGGCCTTGTGCTTCTTCTTCTCATTTTGACACCGAAGCAGGGTTTTTAGGATGCCTGAGTAGCAGACGACCATGACAAGCAGTGGCAGGACCAGGCTCAAGATAGACCTCATTATTGCATGGAAGTTCTTCCAATTTACTGGAAAATGAGGGTTGCATGAATAATGAGAATCTTCTTCTTCAGATCTGGTAAAGATAATTCCTGGGAGAGCAGCAAGCACAGTCACCACCCAGGTGACCCCACTTGTCACCACCCCAAAGGTGACTGTCCTGGCTTTTAAAGCAAATACAGCATGGACGATCGCCAGGTACCTGTCGATTGTCAGAAGGATGATGAAGAAAATTCCACCGAAATAACCAGTGTGATACAGCCCGGTGAATAATTTACATGCTGCATCGCCAAACACCCACCCATATGCAGCATAGTGGGCCCAGAAAGGGAGGGTGAGAAGAAAAAGCAGGTCAGAGATGGCCAAATTGAGCAGGTAGATGTCAGTCATGCTCTTCAGCTTTTTGCAGTTTATCAGAGTGAGGACGACCAGCAAGTTGCCCACAAAACCAAATATGAACACCAGCGAGTAGAGTGGGGGCAGGAGCTGGGCTGAGATTTGCTTCGCTTGGATTTTATGGCAGGGCTCCCACATTACGTAATCGATGTAGTATGGAAGAGTCGATGTGTCAAGCTCCATTTTGCTCAATGCTGTGAATAAAGAGAAAGACAATTTTTATAAGGTCCTAGAAAACCCTACAGGACACAGTCTACTCTGCACACATGGGGTCGCCATAAGATGAAATTGACTTGATGGTAACTAACAACAACTACAGACTTCCTTAGTGGTCTACCACAATCATAATCATAACTGGCGGTGACTTCTTTGTCATCCCTCATGATATTTCTGGGAGCTCTGGTGGTGTAGTGCCTAAGGTATTTGACTGCTATCCAGAAGGCCAGCAGTTCAAACCTACCAGCCACTCCTCGGAAGGAAGACTGGGCAATCTACTTCCATAGTGATACCACCTGAGAAACCCAAGGAGAGGTTGCTATGAGACGGATCTGACTTGTGGCAGTGAATTTGGTTTTGCTTTGTTTACAATTTTGTAAACAAAGATTGAGATGTGGTCAGCATGCTGTGGAGTAACTGGAGAAATGTTTCCTTGTCATCTATTTTCCTATGGCTTAGAAACTGAGTGAAAAGATGGCCACACAATGCAATTACTGTGACTCTCTGATCTAAAAAATATCCTTGCTCCACTTAACAACTCCTCGGTCTTTGTTCTTTCCTTTATAAACATCTCCTTAAAAGCCTGTGTCCAAGTCCATGAAACCAGTTGTCATTGAGTTGACCCCAATTCATGGTGAACCCATGCATGTCCCACTAGACCTGTGCTCTGTAGGGTTTTCAGTGGCTGATTTTTCAGAAGTGGATCAACAGGTTTGTGGGTGGACTTGAGCCTCCAACCTTTTGGTTAGCACCTAGCACCTCCCAGGGACTCCATGCTAGTCCCTCGCTTCCCCTTTTCTTCCTAGTAGCAGACACCAGTTATTTCACAACACCCTCCATCTTCCCCAGAAGCCCAATTTCATTATAAGTTTAAAAATGCTGGAAGTTTGCTTTTACTACCTCCTTTGCAGCAGTGAAAAATCATGTAACTCATTTCTGGGCATTACTGTATAAGGGAGAGTGTGCTAGATCAACAAACCAAACCCACTGCCGTGGAGTCGTAAACAACTCATATCCAAGCATAGTGACCCCTCCTTGGGTTTTCAAGGTGGTATCTCTACAGCAGTAGATTGCCCAACCTTCCTTCCGAGGAGTGACTGGTGGGTTTGAACCACCAGTCTTCTGGTTAGCAGTCAAATGCCTTAGGCACTATGCTACCAGAGGTTCTGAGAGTGTGCTAGGGGCTTCTGGAAATGCACCACCCAGGTAAGAGAGAGACATACAGATGGAAACTCCCATCTGCCCCACCTGCTTTAGGAGACTGTCCTACAAGGATTTCCAGCTTGGGGCCATGAATGAAAGACATAGAAAACTGGAGAGAAGCCAATCAGAGTCCTAACATGCTTGAGTTCTGAACCACCCCTTGCAATGTTCATCTTCTGGCTTTCTGTTATTTGACAAAAATAATCCCCTGTTTTTAAGCCACTTTGAGTTAAACTTTCTGTTACTTGCAGCCAAAAGCATTCTAACTGGGTCATCTAACCAATACTCTCTTAACCTTCTGCATCTATCATCCTGCCTCCATCATCCTGACAAAACTTCTTTAGCCAGAGTTGCCAATCACAACCCAATTTTCAATCGCCTTGGCTTTGTTCCAGTCTCATCCTTATTAACCTTTCTGCCAATCTCTTCCCTTTCAAACACTTTTGGCTACTAGGGGATAGCTCCTGTGTGACAACTTCTTATTTAAAAATTTTCTTTGTTGTTGGTACCGCTCCCCTGCCTACACCGTAAACATCCCCAGGCACTATTCTTGGTTCTCATTCCTCTTACCTTTTACATCTTTATTTTTGCTACATTTTTTTTTTTCCTGAATCATATTACTATCTACTCTCAAGTTTCTAACTCCCCTATGTGCTAATGCTTCTGCTGATGCTCTATCTTCAAGTCCCCCCCTTCCCTCAAACCCCATAGCTGAAGTTTCCATTGCTTACTGCATATCTCCCCATGATATTTATTGAGCACCTACCATGAACTATACTGTATTGTAGACGCAGGAGATGTACAGTGAACAAAGAGGATGTCATTAGGTACCTTATTCAACCCTTCCCAAACCAAACACACTTGAAATTGCTCCTACTCACAGATTTCTTATCTTGTCATATGAGTAATTGTCATTTTACTCAGTTTTCTGAGAAGCTAGGCTTAGTATTTTCCTGGACCTGTGGAACCAATCAGATCTGGCTTCGAATCCTGCCCAATTTACAAGCTGTATGATTTGGGGCTAATTACTTTTAAGTGTCAATCTCTTTACACAAAAAATAGTGATTTCTCTGTGTTGCTATGAAGATTGATGGAGGTTAGTACTTAGCACAGCCCTGCCCAGAGAAATGCTCTGTGTTATTACTATGTCACGTGAACTCTACCTCAGAAATGTCTCTCAAATCCATCCCCTCTGTGCCTCTTTCACTGCTACTTCCTTGCCTCAGGCCCTTCTCACTTCTTGCTTTGCTGTGGTTTTGTGTTTGCTCATTGCGCTCCTTTTCCCAGCCATGCTCCTTTTCAGACTGTCATCCCCCAAACAGAAATTGGATCACACACTTCTCAGCTCAAAACCTTCAGTAGCCCTGTGGTTTGTATACGGTGGGACCTCAAAGGTAGTGCTTAGCTGCTCATCATGCCCTTCCTAAATTTGCTTCTTCTCAGTTTCATCTCCAATCACTTCCCAAGTCTCAGATCTCGTACTCCAAATACAGCTATCTGCTCTCCATTTTTCCCAAAGTCACCATTTCCTTTATGTTTCACTAATTTTGCATGTGCTTGTCCATCTGCCTAAAATGGCTGGTGAGCTCCTATTCATCCCTCAATATCCCTGTTCAAATTCCCCTATTCTGGAAGACTTCTTTGCCTTCTCCATCAAATTACTCTTAACCTCTCATAACACTCTGTGCTTGCCTCCAAATAAGCACTTACCACACTATGTTCCACACATGGCATGCTTCTTGATGCCAATGACTAAATCATGTTTCTATCTCCAGCTCTTATGTGCTAGCACCTGGCTAAAAGGAGGCACCAATACATGTTCACTGAAAGAATACACACAACTCTTAATCATAATAATTATGAGACTTAACATCATTAAACTTGTGTCTCAAGAATTTTTTTTCTCCCATAGTGACTGAATTTGTTTTGATCCATCTGTACATCTTATCCTTTAGTTTTTCTTGTGATGGACACATTTCACAAGTCTTACATTTCACATCCCTGAGGCAGATTTTTGAAACCTGCAGCAATTAAAAAAGATCTCTGATCAAGGTCAGGGGGAAAAAAAAAAGTATCCACCTAAAGAACTATAAAATCATTGAGTGTTCCAGGTACTATGCTGCTTTGCAGGCATTAATTTATTCCTTACAACAACTTTGTCTGGTAAGCATTTATGCATTTTACAAATGAAGAAATTGAATCATGGGCAGAGTAAATAACTTTCCCAAGCTCACAAAGCAAGTAATGGCCGAGCTGGACTTTGAAATTTAGGCTGTTTACTTCAAAGTTCCTCAAGGTCTCCCAGCTCCAAGCTCTGAGAGAAAGGATGTCAGCAAAACAGCTCACAGATTTTCTCAGAATTCTACTATGGCTGGAACAAAATTTCTTTGGCACTTAGTCTTTAAATTCATACACATGCACCCACACAACTCCCTTTCTCCCCACCAACATGCACCACACACACACGCACACACGCACACACACACTCACTTACGTTGTCTCTAGAAAATAAGCCCTATGAGGGTAGGGTCTTGTTTTGCACTGAAGCACATCAGTGGCCTGGAACCAGGCCCAGCACATACCAAAAACAAACCAGATGCCATCGAGTCGATTCTGACTCAGCGACCCCATGTTTTTCAGAGAAGAACTGAGCTCCATCATGTTTTCAGTGGTTGATTTTGGGAAAGTAGATCTCGTGATCTTTATTTTGAGGAGCCTCTGGGTGGACTTGAACCTCCAACCTTTCAATTAATCATCTGTGCCACCCCCAGGGACTCCTGGTTCAGCACAGAATAGCTGCTAAATAAATACCAGTTGAATAAGAGTAACAGAACTAGTTGGCTGCAAGCTACTGAAAAACAAAATGCCCCATTGTGGACTGGGCGCCTAGGTGATCAGGTGGGAGACCTTATAAAAATTGATATACTGATAATCCTTATATATAGCCTATTACCACAGCAAGTCTTCTGGGCTATTCTGTGACTCAAGTGTGTAAATGGGATTGGCAGTTCTAAGACTGGACATCAGAATCACACAGGAGATCTGTCAGTAGCTTGTGGCCCAGACCTTTGTTCTAGATTCAGATTGGGAGGGGATTGGGAGGGGATGTGCTGCCCTGACTGTCACCTTCCCTGCCACCCTGGGTTCTACCCTGTGTTGTCTGCATGCCCTGACCTCTCAAATACCAGCCATTCTGTACTACTTCCCCCCATCTCTCCAGCTCACCTGGATCCTACCACAGTGGACACTCAGCAACGTGGCTGAAATACACTGACCTAGGCATCACTTTTGAGCATCAGAACACATGAACCAGAACTAATAAAAAATCTACCTCCAGAAAAATTCCCGAGTGGAGACAAGAGGTTCCTTCTTGTTCAGGGCATAGACTGTCACATATATGAACTAGAGAGGGAAAGAAGTTTAAGGTAGAAAGTACCAGGTCTTTAAAGGCCTTAAAGGCTGGGTGGGGCAGGGTGAGAGGCGAAGTGTTGAGAAATGTGTTGTTCTTATCTTAACTGTAGCACACAGTCTCCCACTCCTTGTGTCCCAGGAGAGGTCTCACCCTGCTGGGCTCACCGTCACCTGGGACTCCACTAAAACCTCCTGCTGATGAGGCCACCCTTCATCCCCTTTGCCCATCTTGATCATTCTCCCAAAGTTCACAGGCTTTGTGATCCTTCAAGGTGTGCCTAGTTGGGTGTCTCCAGCTCTGAGATGCTCTGAGCTTATGGTTCCTAAAGTCATGAGTAAAGCTCCCCTAACTTACCGGTGATGATTTCTTCCAGGCACCACTGGTGTTTCAGGCTTCTCAGTAACCAAACCAAACAGATGTGGAGGTAGAAGCGTGTTGTGCAGAAATAGGAAATCAAGTTTCCTGCAGAAAAAGAAGGCGGAGATACAAGGGTAAGTGATGCTAAAGATATGAAAAAAAAATCAGATAATATAGTTCTTCTTTTCCACCCAGGAACGTTATACACTTGTTTGAGGTCTCCAGAGTAGGATTAATTTTGAAATCTTGCTTATGCAACCTTGAGTGTGAGTCAGGCACACCCTGGACATCTGGCTCCAGATCTAACAGAGTCTGGGGATGTCTTGTGGGTCTCTATATCTGGGACTCCTCCACTTTCTGCTCTCCTGCCACTAGTAATTTGCATGATACAAGCATAGCAGAACTTTTTACTTACCAGAGAACAGCTTTTGAC